TTTTTGGTTCTGACATTGGATTACTATACTAATGTACCTTTTTGTTTCTCCTGTTTATAATTAGGATTGTTGACAGAGATAATAAAACTAGATTGATTTGCTCCCAGCTATCATTCTTTAAGGTTGTCAGCCTTTAGCTCTGTGTCTTACCTTCTGTAGCAAGAACTCCAAAGGGGCTGTTGGTGCTATAAAAACAGTTGCAGGTCACCAAAGGAATGAGGGTGTTGGTCTAATACAAATACCTTCTACCACAACTGTTTTTCACTTTATATAGTTGATTCTGTACGTGCTTTGGGGCAAAGACCAGCTGTAAATATCTTTTCTATCAAGTGCGTGTGACTTCATGTGGTTAGAAGTTGTTGCAAGTACAATTTTCTATGCTTGATTAAAACACAAAAGATTAAATTACATTTCAGCTTTAGTGTTTAGAGTATTTGCAAAAGGGATAGACTTTTTTTTTCTATTTCAACCTCCAAAGAAAGAAAAATCGAGACTCCGCATCACACTGATAACTCTAAACCAAAAAGAACCAACTCAGAAAATGGTTTTCTACGGCATTTTGGCGCCATGTATGTTTGTTTTTGCACTGCACTGAACTTCCATATCAATGAGTTTTACACCATGTTTTTCTCCCACACTGCTGTACGTTATGAAATGGAAATATTCATTTTACTGCTAAGCTGCTGCATTTACTGTCTGAAAACTGTACAAATTTCATTTTGTATACCCTCTTTGTATACAAAATGACAATAAAAATTGTCTAAGCCTAAGTCTAAAAGTTAATATGCACTTTTAAAACCTCATTGTTGTTGACTTAAATACATATTAAAACATTGTGTGTATACAGAAGCATCCATGTTAAAGCAAAATCTAACAATTCTAACCAGGATCGCTACTCATTTCATTTTTAGAAAAAAACAATGGTTTCATGTTTGAATTTTTTTTGTTGTTGTCTAATATGGACAAGATCCATCCATCCAACTTCTCCCACTTATTCCGTCAGCGTCGCAGTGGGGCTGGCATTCTATCGGCAAATTACGGTACACCCTGGACAGCTTGCCGATCCATCTCAGGGCTGTACACAATATGATTATTCAAATTTGGTTTCCAGTTATTTTTACTGGAAATTAAATTATTTTATACTGGCAATTAACAATTTTACATTAAAGTAGAATTAAAAGATTCTGGATTTTTCTTGGAAGTATAATCCTACATGAATTATAATCCTGGACTATCGGTCGACAGTGTTCATACTATGTAAAGTGACTTGCTGTAACTTTATACAGTAGAACATTGCAGCTTATTGTGTTAGAAAACCAGGAAGTATGAGCAGCAAAATAAAACCACGAGCAACCAGCTGTTAAACAGTTATTGTTGAAGTAGTTTAATTTTCATCTGTATAAATGTCAGTGAAGTGAAAATTATTTCTAATCTGTGATATTGCTTTATTGTGAGTAGGAATGCAACAAATCAGGGCTAGGCAATTAATTTTATTTGTAATATAAGCGCAGTTTATATACACATTTATACAGTTGATATACACAAAATTCTATTTTCAAATAGAAGAGGCAATCAGTTTTGGTCACATTACATTTGAAGAAATGTAAGACAGTGGTTTGCTCACTTTAGCCCTTTAGGTGGCAGTACTATGCTTAGAGTGGGTTTACTGCTAAACCGAAAGAAAGAGATAGTTGCAGCTAGCGCACAGATCCATGCATGATAGTAGAAGTAAGAAATTTTCTATGCAACAATAACAGTAAAGTCCTAAGACAATAAAATCTGGGGAAAAAAAGAAGCTTTTCAGGTCATGAAACCTTGACATGCTTGTAGATTGTGCAAAGAAAGAACATAAAATTGTATCAGTTGAAAATAATCGCTAGTTTGTTTTTTTTGCAAAACATTACAAAAATGAATGTTTTATTACATTAAAGTTTGCTCCATCTGATTAACTGATAATGTGAGAGAGGAATGCCACATTATCCTGTCGAGGAATGCCACAACGGAGAGGTCAGACAATCGGACAAATGAGTTGAGACCTTTGGTAGATTATTAACATTGTTTAATAGCTACAAGGATACAGAGCACACTTAATGAACTTTTGCTTGTGTCATAAAACAAGACCATGGACCCAGTATTCAAGGTGAGACAGTCAGTAGGAAAGTTCAAAACGTTTACTAAAAAAAATAAAAACAAATAAAAATAAAGTGGAGCTGCTCGGATCTATGGCTTGTGGATGCTGCAGGAGGGGGGCGGGGCATCGCCCAATCACAGACACTCTGTGGGAGAAACACAGGTAAGTGACTACAATCATCTGACAGAAGATGATCTCAGTGAGTCACTTACCTGGTTTAACAGTTCAGTCCATCACCCAAGAATGGGGTGCAATCCAGCTGATGGGCTGAGAGCTCATCATTAAATTAGGGCTGAAACAGTTAATCTGATTAATAGTGATTAATCAGATTAACTGTCAACTAATTTAGTAATCGATTAATAATTACCCGTAGTAAAAAAAACTTTAAGGCTTTAGCTGACAGAAAAAACAACTTATAGCAGCAATTATACCTAAATTGTAAAAAGATATATAAATATTTTGCATTTCTCATAAAGACTTTTTCCTCTGTAACTATGCTCTACTCAGAAGTCAAGTAGAAATATTTTAGCTTGACCTGATTTCATTCTGTTATAAATCTTCTTTAAGATTTATCTGCTTATTAATTGATTAATCAAAAAAATTAATCGATTAGCAAAATTAATGTTAATTGCAGCCCTACATGATTTATTTTTTTTTTTTAGTTTTTACAATACTAGTGGCTCGTTTAGTAGGCTGACAGGAAAGGGGAAATGAGAAGAGGGAGAGACATGTGGGAAAGGACCACAGGCCAGATTCGAATCCGGCTCGCCCACATCGAGGACTAAGGCCTCCGAACATGGTTCGTGTGCGCTAACCACTGCACCACCAAAGAACGCCTATTAAATAATTAATAGTTTATATTCTATTGGTCTTATACTTTTATTCTATGACCTAAAATAATTCCATTTTGTTATATTTTGTTTATGGTAAGTCTGAGTTCAGTATTGTGTGAGGAAACCACAGTTTCTTGTTTATACAGTCGGTATTTAATTCTGCATGTAGTAAAAAAATAGTTCTTCATATTCTGATCTAAAGGCCATGATCATGTGCGGTGTAATACTGTGTGAATATTTATGTGTGTTTGTCATGTTCACATTTTAAAGACACAAACTTGAAGGTGTTGTAGTTTGATTATATCCTGTTAATTTTTCTTGCTATATATCGGGTAAAGGCAGCTTTACAAAATTAGTATGTAGCAAAAAGTGTGTGGAACTTTTGTATTTATTCTCTCATAATCAGAAGAACCACCTTTCACTTTGCGATTTTTCTGCAAAATACTGTAGCCCAGTCTCTTTCAGATCAGATGCAGAGCATAGATGAATGCAAATTGTCATTTCTATAGCAGATTTCAAATTAATTCAGTTCTTTTCTTAAACCGTTACTAACTGGTCCACTGAAGCTCTGGCTGTATAGTTAGAGTTGTTATCCTTCTGGAATGTGGATTCATTATTCTACCAGCTCTAAACGGCTGCCTTTTTTCTGCTGGAGACAATAATCCCGTAGTATGATGCTGTCACCTCTATGTTTTACCATTAGGATGATGTGTTAGTGGATCATGTGCAATTTTACTAGTATTATGTTTCTTCTGGATAGAAATTAAGTCTATTTTATATCAAAAAAGATATCCAGGAGATATGTTTTTTAATAGACGGGTGCTAAAATAAAAATCTTCCATGTTTGTTGAAATTATAAAATGATATAAACAGCACATTATCTTCAGAATAGATGTAACCAAGGTAACACTGCCTACCGCTGTCTGGGTTATGTCCAAATCATTTATGGATTATCAGGAGATGCATCCATGACATCTACCAGCCAGAACGAACATATATAAAAGCTGTAAACGTCTCTGTCACATTTCTTTGTGTTATTGTGGATTGTTATATTTTGATACAAATGAAATTGTGAAGTTCTTGTGTGAAATGACCTTTAGATGGATGTACAGAGCGGCTCCTCTGTTCCATGCGCCTGACCCTGGAAGAAAGATTTAATGAAGCACCTCCCTGTTATATTTTGATGGATACCTTTCTGTAGGCGGTGTACAGCTTTTTGAATGTGGGTGTATGTATGCGCTAGTGTGTTGTTGTCTCAATATGTTGTTCAACAACCGGCTCTGTGTAGTCAGCTGTCCGGTACAGTGTCGGTGTCATTAATCACAGACCCAACACGGCAGAGAACAGGGGGTTAGGAGGGAAAGAGAATGGGCCAGGCGAGAGTCGTAATCTCTACAAGGCACCTAGAGAAAGATGTGGAACCAAAGGGAGCCATTCAAGAAAAGGTTGTTTAAGCTTTCAGCTGGCGGTTTGTGAGCAGTAGATAAGGTTGTTTGGGGATGGTTTCCTTTTTAAAGGAAACAAACTATGCAATGTTTTCGAAAGCTGACAATTTCTTTATGCCTTGGGGAAATATCTTTGACACGCCCCCAGAGATAGAGGGCAGCAGCTCCCTCTCTCAGCTTACACTGTCGCATTTTATCCGTCCACTTGACACTAGATTAAAACACTTAACTTTAACCCACCCCGGTTTTTCTTTGAATCTAGGACTTTTAAGAAAATGCTGAAATTGTGCTCTTTCTGATAATTATTATTAAACCTATTATCACAGGTTTCTGTATAATGTGATTTGGAATGTCTCTGTAAGGTGCCTTTAATGACTTGTGTTATGAATTACCTCAACATAAATAAACTTAATTGTATATCTGTAGTGGAAACTGAAAAAATATATGGGATTAACTCAGCTGTTTTTTGCAGCCTTACTCAAGAAATAAAAACAAATTATGGGTAAAAAAAGATTTGAAAGTAAAATAGAGTCTCCCATTTAGTGTCAAACAGCTGATATTAACTGTAAACAAATTATGCTTTTTTTTCAGGAGGGGGATTTTCTTGTTCGAACCCACCATGTAGAGTACTGTGATGGTGGTATACTGGACCCTGATGACATACTCAGTGATCTGGTGGAGGACAAAGACAAGGTAAGGAAGCTTTAAATCCTCATGGGTTTGTTGTTTTGTGTGGTTATATTGGTTATAATCCTCCTGAAATGGGGAATTTTAACAAGTAACGTAATGTTTGTTACTTATCCAGCTTGTGTGAATAGTTTTCAAGAATTGTCGAGTAAACGCAACATTCTCTTATATTTGAGATAATTGAGGAGCAGTGGGCATCAGTAGCCCGAGGTCTTTCTGCATGGAGTTTGCATGTTTTCCCTGAGCATGCGATGGTTCTGTCCGGGTACACCCGCTTCCTCCCTCAGTCCAAAAACATGACTGTGAGGTTAACTGGCTTCTCTAAATTCTCCTTAGGTGTGAGTGTGTGCGTGTTAATGGTTGTTTGTCCTGTTTGCCTCTGTGTTGCCCTGTGATAGACTGGCGAGCTGTCCTGGGTGTACCCCGCCTTTTGCCTATTTACAGCCGGAGATAGGCACCACCACTACCAGGGCCCAAGCAGGGTTAAGCTCAACGGAAAAGGGCTGGATGGACTTAACAAGTTTTTAAAAAGAAATGAAAATGAAAAAAAAAAAGCAAAGTCAAATATCAATAAAATCAAAGTCAAAAACATTAAATTTAAATAAAAAAATATTACAGTTTGAATAGCTCAAAATAAGTTGCTTCACCCAGATCACTTATTGTCTTTATATCCGTCCGTCAGTCCGTCCATCCATCCATCCATCCGTTTATGCAGGTTTAACATTAAGATTCATACCATGAACTAATTTTGAACCTTAAAGTTTGTATTTTAAAATTGACAAAATAATGACTGAGAAATCAGTCTTGAACAAGTATGGGCTTTTAAAATAAAAATGTGGAGAAATCCCATAAACTGTCTGTTTTTGTAGGCAAAACAGGTGGTTAACTTATAATAGACAGCATGGCTAAACTGTTCCTGCGGTCTCCAGCGACTCAGAGAAAGCTGTATTAATCCCTCATTCTCCTTTGAATATTTTAATACCCCTCATGATATGACTGTATACTACATTTAATGCCTGCCTGTTAAGTAGTCACTGAGACAGCTTAATACACTGTGAAGAAGGTAAAGTGTATATGCAGCTATCAGTATATTTCAGTTCTTGTGTTGGACTTTAAATATATGCATGTTCACAGTGCAGTTTATTGAGCTGCTGTAGCCCACAAGCTGTTCCCTGGGAAAGAAAATTGCTTCTCAAGCAAAATTCAAAGGTAAAGGTTTTAACTTGCTCTCAGCAGAAGGCAATGCCATTACCATTTACTTGAGGCAAATCAAATCCATATATTCCAAGTTTTTTTTATTATTATTATAATTTTCCCCTTGAGGAAAATGTCCCTTTTTTCCCCTAACTTTTTGGAAAATTTTAGTTTTTGAGTTCTTGGTCATACATTATAGTACAAAGAACAGCTTTAGTGACTCTCATTGGATGGCTCGTCAAATTCGACTAGTTTTAATGTGTCTATAGTGAGCTGAATGTTTCATTTACCATACTTTTTAAAACAGAAAACAAGGAACCTGCTGTTTGTATCCTTGCCTCATGCTGTATGCCTTTGAGGGGGTCAGAATTCAGTCGAATATGTGGTAATTTTCTTGCACTAATTAATATCAAAGTTGCTAAAGTTTGGATTTTTCTGCCTTTAAGCACCTTTTAGGAGAGCATTTTTTTTTCTTTTTTTCTTATACATTAGTCAGGCTTCTTTTATTTTTTTAGTGCAACAACAGCTTTTTTAAATGCAATTCTTAAGAGAATTTCATTTATTTTTCTTAATCATTTAGGGCACTCCAACATCTAAGCTGGAAAATTACACATTGCACAAAGCTTAAACATTGCAAATCACAAAAAATTAATAAAATAAAAACATGGAAACAGGTTTTTATTTAATTATTATTATTTTTTTTTTTACATGGTTTTCAAGTGTAGCAAGTTTCGGAGATCATCCAGTTTTACTCTCATTAATTACTGGTTAAAGGTTTCCTCATGGTGATTAAGAAAACAAAAAAAAAATAACAAACACATTTGTGTCATACTTATTTTTAACACATTTTAATGATTGATAATAATTTTGAAGCAAAACATCTTCAAAAAAAACATTATTTTTCTCAGTAACTCAAGTTAGATGTCTGTTTTTGTTTTTTAATTAATTTTAAAGTGAGATAATTCTGCTGCTGTGAAAATGTTTAATTTAACACATTTTCTATATCATTCCTAGACATACCAATAAATGTACTATTTTAGCCTGAAAAAGGCTATTTCTGGGGTATTTCTGTTTACTTCCATCACTAAGCTAATTCTGCTACTTATCTCCAGTTGAATAAAGTCAGTTTTGGTTTACATTGGGCAGTGAAGGCACAAAAATTGGTACATTCTCATTTATTACTCATAAAAGAAGGTGGTTTATCCCCGTCTATCGAAACGCCCCAGTGTTAAAACCAACACGGCGGTAGATCGGAGTGTAAGAACTACCTAAAAAGCTTGGAGTCTTATCAATGCTTATACAGTGGCATAGCTGGCTGTGTGCTGATACACTAATGTGGCAATTTGAGGAAAATGATGGTAGATGTTCAGCCATACCAGTGCCCGAATGTTTCCTGTTATTACGATGTATTTAAGGTTATAGAAGATGGAGAGTTGGAGATTATATGCTGTGCCTGTTATGCATCCATGCAGCTTGTCTCCTTTTTTCAAAGCAGCCCTTATTCTTGTAGACATACATGCACAAAGAAACAGAGAAGGTCACATACATGCCAGAGGTGCACAGGTCTATTTGGACCAAAAACACTTTGTAACATCACTCAGAGATGTCAGCTAACAAGGCTGATTAAGCTCATCAAGAGCACGGGTTACCTTAAACTAAGGAGTAGAGCCCAACCGATATGGGATTCTGAAGATCGATATTTGATATTGGGGGCTTTCAAAAATTCTCTCCCATACATTGACCAGTATCCAATAAAAATTGACATTCGATATAAATTAGCCAGAATATAAAGAAAACTGAACATGGACTGCGGTGGACTGGCGACCTGTCCAGGGTATACACCGCCTGTCGCCCGTAGACAGCTGGAGATGGGCACCAGCACCCCTTGCGACCCCGCTTGGGACATGCGTGATAGAAAATGGATGGATGGAACATGGACAGATACAAGGATATGCTTCGTCCAATTGTAGTCCGAGTTAAATTCTTGTAATAACCAGAAATGTGATTCAAGACAAACTGAACAGTGTAGAATTAATATAAGCAATATTATTTTGAGCACTGTAAACATGAGACTATAGATAAGAAAATTTTTTCTTCTGCTGATTTAGATGTTATCTCAAATGTGTGTGTTGTGCTCTGACTAACTTAAACACTGCAGATGCTGCATCCAACAGCTGTTACATCCTTCATGAAGTTGATTGACACCAAACTGCTGAATATATATACATTAGTGTATAATTAGATTTCATTTCTACATTTGAGCATTTCAAAAGGAAAACAAGTGGCTGCATTCAGCTTAAGGTGATAACACAATGGCTAATATAAGATGTTTTGTATCTGATTTCATTTTTAGAACTCATTTACAGAAAGCCTCAGAAATATAAATTTATGACATATAAGCGACAGAAAAGTTGCCTCCTCCACTGAACGCAGGGGACTGAACGGGCTTTAGCAATGCTGCAGCTTTTAAAATATCCAAACAGGATTACATCCAAATACATAAGTCGGAGCATTTTAAAAATTTCTTCAATGAAAACATTAACTTCTGACTTTATGAGCCCTAGTATACAGTATCCTGCATGTCAATATGAAGTTTAGTACAATTTAATACACAGTATAATAATATGATATTCTTTCTGAAATGTAATATCTTGTTTATTTCATAAAGAGGCAACTTACACAGAGCTGAAATGCTAATATTTTTGCCAAAACCACCATATAAAACTTGTTTGCTCTCCTTAATGTGGCCTAACAGCGTATTTCCACGAGGACGTTTGTTGTCATGGGGCACTACAGTCACAGCTTGTTTACAATGGTTTCTAAATTGCATGAAACTGTTCCAAATGAAACACCAGAATCAAATGTAACAAATGCCAAACCCTAAAAAAAATAAACTCAATGGAAAACTTGGATTAAATAATGAAAGTAATTCCTGAAAAACACGAATATGCCATGCTGTTACACAAACAGACAGCGGAAGAACCCAGAAAAAGACACCCAGCAGTGCACATTTCTAAGCACCAAAGATTGCATATAAAATGAAAGTGTGAAATATTCATTGAATTCTGAAGTGAGCTCTAGTATTACTGAGCCGAAATGAATAAATGGTTCCTAATCCCAGATGAGTGTTTTACTATTGGCAGTCTGAGTCTGCATGGCTTTGGATTTACAATCATAACATAAAAAAAAAAGAAAAAAAAAAGAGAGCCAGAGTTTGCTCAAGTCAGGGGTAAAAATGCATTTTAAAGACGCTGACATATAAATATCTAGTTTACAAGGTTAAAAGAAAGTACTTCCTTTTTCTTTTCTAATAATTTATGGAAAATTAGATGCGAAGGGGGCTTTGACCAAGCGTCAGTGTTTGAAGTTGGAAGTGAGAATGTGTTACGTAATCAGGCAAACTCAATATTAGCTTTTAAATAACACATTAAAGTTTAGGATCAGATCACATCCTGCTGTATTTACATTGAGAAAAACATCACCCTGCCTGTCTGCCTTTGTTACTATCAACACATCAATTTTTTTGCCCTTACTCACGTGTATCTTACAGACATCAAAAGTAAAAATTTTGTCACGTAAAACTCACTTAATATATCAAGAGGTATACAAGACATGCTTTTTTAAATTAGACTTTTAATTGGTGAAAAATGTGCTTATCAAACCCAGAACATTAGCAAAGACCTTGTGAAGATGCAGATGAAAGTTTGTAAACAAATAGTTAAATTATTGAAAGTTAAAGGAGTCCTGTATCATCATGGGCTTAAATGGCAATTAATAAAGGTGTTATGCCTAAAGCAGTGTCAAAACCCAGA